AAAAAAAAGAAAAAAGAAAGTGATTGACTTAAAATTTATGTCTGTTAGACAGTAAGTCTTACAAGTGCATACAGATATTTCATTCTTTCAATCAAGTACCTCGTTTTTATTGCTACGGTGGAACCAAGCATAATACTACAGTATTTACTTGGTAGGGCAGGATGTGGGTGTACATACTTGCAAACTTACATCTGTCCAGTGATGGTTTTGAACATACCAGATGCCTCTGTGGTAAAATTTAGACTATTTCTTTTAGAAACATAAGAGACTAACCCTTCAGCATCACTTAACTCTACTCTAGGTACCATATTAAGCACATTCCAGGTGCTACTTCCTTTAGGCATGACACCAACACAGGGACACAGCTACCGTTAACATCTTCTACACCAGGAAACTAAATCTCACAAGTGGAAGTGGCTTATGCTTGCGCAGGCTTGTAGCTAGACAGCTCGCACCTGCATCCAAAATATCTGGCTCCAGAGTCAGATTCCTGACACCATGAACTTTAGTGCCTTTTATCAAATAGGTTTGGGGCTGGGGAGATAGTGCAGTGGTCTAAGTGCCTGCCTAGGCAAGCACAAGGACCCGGGTTTGATCCCTGGTACCACATGCTGTGCTGACCCTGCTCTGAGTGTGCTGAGCCGGCCACTGAGACCTGGTATGGTGGCGCACACTTATAATCCCAGCACTGGGGAAGCTGAAACAGGAGGATTGCTACAGTCCAAGCTGCGTAGTGAGATCCTGTATCAAATACATAATTAAAAAAAAATAGGTTCAAGGGTAACCAGTATAGTAGACCTTACAGGTTTCATTACTCATCTTTAATTTATAAATCTGGCAAGTCTTAGGGCAAAGAAATTGCTTAGTACTCTTAGCCCTGCCTTACCCCTTACCATTCCATTGAAAAGGAATCATAGAGCAAGTAGACAACTTACATGGGACAGAAATCCCACTTGGAGGGAATATTTTTCCTTTCAGAAAGGCTTGGCTTTCTTGTCCTTTCAACTACTTCTTCTCTAGGTGATTCTGAGTCCTCTTTAGTTCTGCAAATAATAAGCACAGTTTTTTAATATTTGAAGTGAACAATATTGTGCTATAATCACCTTTAAACCATTGGTGAGTTTTACTGTATCGTTCAATAGACTCATGAATATCTGTTTTGTTTTACAAAGATCTGATGGCTAAGACTAAAAGTTCTACCACTAAATTAAAAAAAAATTTTAAATAATTATAAAAAGAGTTGGAATATTGACAAAATACACAAAAAGGAAAAATTTATAAAAATCAGTCTCACTCTCATTCCTAATAATCAATGTTATTGCTGGCAGTTCTTGGTACATATGTGTATTTAACTGTACATTAAAAATATGGATATATGAGGCCAGGGAGATAGCTCAGTAGAATAAGCTCTTCCCTGGCAAGTGCAGGGTCCCTAGTTCAATCCCCAGTATCAGGAAAAAAAATAGACAGATAGATAGAAATAGAGATATATTTGTTTTCTTTATGTGAACTATAGTAATTTTTTTTCACTATTAAGTGTTCTACCACACTGATCTTAGTATCCTATATCATTGTTTTATTTTACTCTGTTCTCTACGGTTTTTAAGTAGTGACAATTTGGAATAAAACTCAAAAGTTTCATCTGTTTCTCTACAAGTCTTAATTTTAATTTTTTTTTATTTATGTGTGTGTGGCCAGCTCAGCCCACCAGGGGGCGGGGCTGGCTGGCATATGGTGCTGGGGGATTGAACCATGGTCCCTGTGCTTTGCTAAACTTGTTCTAAGTAGGTGCTTTAGACCACTGAGCCATCTCACCAGCCCCTACAAGTCTTAATTTTAAAAAGCACTTGTGAAAATACTCTCTTGTTAAACTAAACTAGTATTCCATGTATGGGGAATAACAACTGACTATTCAAAGTTAAATCTTTATCCAAAGAGATGTTGTCACGCCTCAGAGTTATCATTCCATTATCATAGTCACTGGTAGTTCCTGGTGGGCAGCTGAATTTCAAAATCCCAAGCTTCGCGTGCCCTCACCATTGCCAAAGGAACTACATCGCGACTTTTTACAACCATCTACAGAAAATATGAGGTAGACTGAATTAAAAATAAATAAGGCCCAAAAGGCAAAATCAAGCACATTCTTGCTTTTCAGTTCCTCAATCTTTTGTTTACAAAAACTCCATAGAAATCATAAGCAGAAAACAGATCACAAACTTTAAAGGAATGCATTCGTGCTTTCCCTCTCAACTTGGGAAAGGTTTACTAGGATAAATTAAATCTGAACTTTGCGAAGTATGCAGTGGGTCCCAGGATTAAAACATGGGTCCTTCTGTGTGCAGACATTTCACGTATTTTTAAAATCTATACAGAGATGTTGCTTCCATGGGTCTTTGGCACACACCTCAGGGTATAGAATCTTTACAGATCTGGCAAATTCCAGCATCTCTTCTAACTGAAAACCTCCAACATTGTTGTTCTGAGAACCACAAAAGAGTGTGTCCACAAACAGCAACTGTGGAGTACTCCACGGTTTCTAAAAGCCTTTCACAATGAATTATCTATTTGTTGATGCTTAACTTTCTCTTAGTAGAATTAAAGTGACCCCATTGTTTATGCCTCAGCTCATGTCTGTTTCATAAATATGTTAAGCTACTCTTACTTTAGTTCACATTTTTCATCTTCAGCATCTGCCCAGGAATGGGTGCTAATAAACCGGTGTAATGAAGGGCGGTGTTCGCTCTGCTTTGGCCCCAGTAGGCGCCTAAATAAGGAAAATAATAGCCATATGTCAAATACATCAGTAGCCATTAGTGATTTATTTCCTACTGCTTAAGTCAGCACAAAAATTAAATGTTCTAATTATTGCCCTGGAGTTATTCCTGTAACTCCTATTTCATAATTATCAAAACTTATAACTTGCCATATACCAATTTTTGTAATTTTTTATATTCTGAACACATCAAAATATAATATACTGTATATACCACTTATTTCCAAAGCCTGTTTACTTTAGCACCATTATAAAATAGTAAGACTCCCAAAAAGCAACCATAAAATTACACTTACCAACTGCTCGACCGTCTACTAAATCTCTCATTTTCCATGGCAGCCACCTTTAGAAGTTTAGGCATGAAATAAAATATTTAGTAAGGTGAAGCAAGGTTATATACTTTAGTCAGATGAAAGTCGTTTTCATCAAGAACATGTAGGGCTCAGTTGCTAGGGGGAAGTTACATCCCAGTCGGTCTGTCAGAATCATGCCTGACAGGATCGAATTTCCTGGTCAGCAGAGGCAACTAGGCTTGGATGAAAGAAGCAGGGCAGATGCAAAATCTGGAAAGCGTGCGGGCAGGGTGGGCAGTCAGCACCCAAACTGACAGCATGACAGGTCAAATACCAAGGCTTTCTAATGTCAACCCCTTAACTCTGCTCAGCCTGTGGATGGAGCTCTTCCCAGGAGTAGAAGCCCCAAAGCAAAAATCTCAGAAAAATGAAGAGGGAAAGCACAGACCATCAGGAGATAATGAAGAGATAGATGGCCAGTGTATCAACTGACAGAAAACAGCTGGAGTTAAATGAATTTCATACTGGCCTGCTGATCCAGAAATAAGCTTGCTTACTGAGGGTTCTAGTTTTTTTGTTTTGTTTTGTTTTGTTTTCAGAACCAGGGATTGAACTCAGGCCCTTGCACTGGCCAGAGAAGCACTTATTCCTCTGAGCCATCTCCCCAGTCCCTGAGGGTTCCAGTTCTGAAGATGCAAAATTAGATGCCAAAGCAGTGGAGAGATTGAAGTCAAACAGCCGGGCCCATGGGTGTGTCTTTCTCCAGGCTTTGGTGTGTGATATGGTGCAGTTTGTAGAGGAGACTTCTTATAAATGTGACTTTATTCAAAAAATTACAAAACTAGCGCCAGATGATAACACTGACTTTTATTCTGAATGTAAACAAGAAAGAAGAAAAAACACCACGTAGGAATTTGCTTACCATTCCTGCATTTCCAATATTTCTGGGTAAAGAGGCAATAGTCACTCTTCGAAGGGAAGATGGCTATCCAAAAGGAGAAAATGTAGTTAGATAACTCCCAATATGCTGTCTTTATCTGCAACAGCTCAGGTTATTCTTGTACATATACACCCATGCGCTGGAGGACTGCGAAGTTAAACAGTAGCATACTTTCAAAGATTGTTTCTAGACAAATCGCCTTTCAGAAATGTCCTACTTGGCCAAGCAATGGCTGTGACTCATCCACATGGCTGACACTGACAAAGATTCTACAATCTGAGGTACAGGATCTCAGGATAAATCCTGAGGGCATTTCACTGACCTTCTCTGACCAAAAAGCTACAACTCTTGTTGCACAGGTCCTGCTTTACCTTGGTCTTAACCATCCAGTAGAAAAGTATGAAGACGAAATATAGGAAGTAAAGCCATGCTGTTATGTTCAGCTGTGGGGGACTCAGGTAAACAATTTCTGACATTGCCAGTTAAACAGAAGACCCAATGCTATTATGGGCTACTGGACTCTTTTGGAATATTTTGCTGAGTTTACACACCTATAATATTCAAATAACGGAACTTAGCAAAAAAAAGAGTATACAGACGAATGTCCATTTTGTATCTGTGTATTCAAAGTGGTTAAGATAAATATATAGTTATATTCTCTTAATGAATAGAATGATTTGTTCTAATGGTGTTTGTAAATAGGATATCATGTCCACATCTTGTACAGCAATTAACCTCTAGGAAGAATGTATGCAGTGTGTTAATTATTGAAACTGTCCTAGCGATTTGATTTGAAACTGTCTCATTGCTATTTGCTTATCAATAAAATTATGAAAAAAAGGAAATATCCTACTAATTGATATTCTACTTTGTGCAACATGAGATTATAATTTCTGCCAATAAATTAAGAAATATAAAATTTTTCACTTGGGTTTTCATATTCTACTAACATTGAGCATTGTCTGTGTTGAAATCGTCTGCTTATGCTTATGACCTTTTGTCCATGTTTTATTTTGATAGAAGAAAATTTTTATTTTCTTAATCCAGCCAAATGTAGCCTGTACTTTCTCCCTTCTGCTATCATTGTTTGTATGCTTCAAAGGATTAGCCGCCTCCCCCCACCCCAGCCAGGTATGGTAGGACGCACCTGGCTTCCCAGTACTTGGGAGGTTGAGGCAGGAGGATCACTGTGAGTTTGAGACCAACCTGGATTACATAGTAAGCTAAAGACCTGACTGAAACACTCTGCTTCAAAAAAAGAAAAGAAAAAGTTAAGATTATCCCCCAAAGCAAGAGGAGATTAATATGCAACTACATTTATAGCTTTTTTTCATAGTTTCATTTTTCTCAATACATTTAAGGTTTCACCTTATCAGTTAAAAATAAATTTAGTGAAAAATATATAAGAACAAGGGCTGGCCGGATAACTCAGTGGACTAAAGTACATACTTAGGCAAAGTTCTGCGGCTAGAGTTCAATCCCCAGTGTGCCCTGCTGGCCCGGGCCCCAGAGCATGCTGAGATGGAGATTGAGACTGGCCATGGTAGTGCACACCTGTAATCCCAGAGCCTGGGAGGCCGAAAACAGGAGAATCACTACAAGTCCAATCTACATAGTGAGACCCTGTAGACCCTGCAGACCCTGTACCAAATGCATATATATATATATGAACAAAAATTACATGTATCAGTGGAGTACCATGTAATGTTCCTATGTATACACTGCATGTTTAAATCATTTTGTTTATTAATTTTATTGAGGAACAAATAGCAATGAGACAGTTTCAAAACCAATTAATAGGACAGTTTCAATAATGAATACATTGCATATTGTTGTCTTCATAGTGGTTATTCATCATACAAGATGCAGATATGATATCCTGCCCAAACACTATCAGTACAAAACTTCCTTCTCATTAAGAGAAAGTAGCTGTATATCTATCCTATTTTGTATATACAGATACAAAATGGTCCTTTATTTGTATCCCCTTTTTTTGTTTAGTTTTGTCAGAGATGGGTATTCCATTGCCATTTAAATATTTTAGGTGCGTGAATTCAGCAAAATGATCCAATATAGTTCAGTAGTCCATAATAGTAGAGGGTTATCCGTAGGACTAGCAATGTCAGAATTTGTTGGCTTGAGCCTTTTACAGCTCAGCATATTAATATGGCTTTATTTTTTATACCTCAGTATTATACTTTTCTGCTGGATAGTTAAGACCAAGATAAAGCAAGACCTATGTACCACGAAATGTAACTTTTGTATTTGACAAGGTCAGACAAATCCCCTTAGGATTTACCCTGAAACCCTATACTGCAGTTTGTAGATCCTTTGTCAGTGTCAGCTATATGGATGAGTCACGGCTGTTGCTCAACCAATTTGCTTGCTTAAATCATTTTGCAGTGAACATTTTCAAAAATCTTGGTCTAGCTTCTTGAAATGAATGGTACATTCCTGTTTATAGGGGCCCTACTGCAGCACAGCCCACCAGACCTCTTAATCCTACCTAGTTCCTGTTGGTCAACCTTTGCCCAATCCTCTCACCATTCTACTCTCCACTGCCAGGACACCAACATTCTTGGTTTTACATATGAATGAGTTGCCATGATATTTTAATAAGTGAATGCATTTATAAATCAGTCTTGAGGTTTGCAGAGGAAAATTATACGGTATTCTTGTGGCTTAAATAAGTACAACGTGGGCCACAGAGATAGCTCAGTGGTCTGAACCATCCCTTGAGACTGGGTATGGTTGTGCACACCTGTAATCCCAGCGCTGGGGAGGCTGAAACAGGAGGATCACTACGAGTCTGAGCTGCATAGCAAGACCCTGTGCCAAAGACATTTTTTTTTTAAAAAAGTACAACTTGAGAGAAAACTATTTTAAATGTAGTAACAAATTTTAAAATTTATTACATAAGTCCTTAAACTATCATCCTAATTTAATTTTATAGATTAGTTGGGCATCCCAACAACGTCAAATTGCAGTGAAAGGTGGATTTCAATCATAATTCTGTCACAACTCCATAGTATTAACCACTTCAGTATTTCTCGGTTCTATTTTTGAAAAAAATAGTTTGGATGATTTTAAATCTAGTTGTACAAAAAGTTTTTATCTGTGGAATCTTGATTTTTAAGCTATTGCAAAAAATTGCAGGTAGATCCTCAACATCCCATTCACTCCTTGATTTTTAGCCAGGCATAAGGCTTCTAGAATAAAAAACTGTATTTTTCTTTTCTTTTGGTACTGGGGATTGAACTCCGGACCTTGTGTTTGCCAGGCAGGCACGTATGCTGCTGAGCTGTATCCCCAGCCCCAAATGGTATTTTTCTGGCTCATTTTTCCATCAAGAATGAAAATGGACATACCATGTTGGACTTGTGGGGAACATTTTTCAGGAAGATGTTTTTACAGAAATATTTACCTTTGCTTTTGTTTTTTAATACCAGGAATTGAACTCACGACCTCATGCTTGCCAGGCAGGTGCTGAGCTACGGAGCTATATCCCGGCCCTGGCCTTTAATTCTTACTTTTCCTTGCTGAGTAACTTGATGTGGCAGCGAGGACTTGGTACCTGGATCAGAAGGAGTGATCTCGACCCTGAGGACCAAGCAAGGCCTGAGGGCAGTGGACTAGCAGGGGAGGAGCAGAATGATCTGTGAGGAGTTTGGGCATCTGCTATATTATTTGCAGAGTGCCTCTGTCCACTGTGTGTGTGTGTGTGTGTGTGTGTGTGTGTGTGTGTACTGGGATTGAATCCAGGGCCCTTGAACTGTAAAATATTTGAGTACAGCCTACAGCCCTGTAAAAAAAAAATTATTTACTTTTTTTTTTTTTGTATTCCTACCTCAGCTTCCCAAGTTCTGGGATTACAGGTATGCGCCACCACACCCAAATCTTTTTTTATTTATTTTAATTTTAAGAGAGGGTCTATAGGGTATTTAGGGTCTCACTACGAGATCAGACTCGTAGTGATCCGCCTGTTTATAGCCTCCCAAGAGCTGGGATTACAGGTGTGCACCGCCATGCCCAGTCTCAATTGCCCTCTCAGCATGTCTCAGGGGTGGGGTCAGCACAGCATACCCAGGGATTGAACCCCAGCCCCTGCACCTACTTGCAGGCACTTTAATCTGCTGAGCTATTTGGCCGGCCCTCCAAATCTTTTTTTTTTTTTTTTTATTGTTTTGGGTTGAGACAAGATCTTGCTAAATCACTAAGCTGATTAGGCTGGGCTCAGACTTGGGCACTTCCTGCCTCAGTCTCCCAAAGTGCTGAGGCTACAGTCATGCACTAACACACCCAGCTATAAAATTTGGTTTTCATGACAAAAACTACTGTTGTACAAGCTTTTACCATGCTACCAAGCAAATGTGCCACAAATTCACCAGGCAGTATAAAAGCATTCTCCAGGAACAACATAAGGAAATACACGTACCATATACACACATGCAAAATAAAATCACTGCGTTGTGATTTACCTTTAAAGGCATGGAATTTCAAATATTTTAGAATATTTTGGTTGCCAACAAACACTGCGCAGACATTAAGTGACATACTGAGTGAACGAGGAATTACCTTGGAGTTCAGGGAAGCTGACCGCTTTTTAATATGGCAATCATCTGAAAGGAAAAACATTTGCACATGTTGGAAATCACACGTGCAATCCATGTTAGAGGGACAATGCGAATCCTTCACAAAGTAAAGCAAAGGTCAAGAAAGATTTACTTAACACCCTAGGCTACAGGGCAGAATAAGTATCCTCGCTTTGGTGACACATAACAGTTACCACCTTCCCTGGTGCCGTGTGGTCCTCCGCATGCACAAGGCTTGCTGACTCACCGCGGGCACTAATTGTCAACGGTCTCATAAACAAAGGAAGCCACTGGATGGGTAGCAAGTAAATAGTTCCTTTTTCAGAAGTAGGAAAAGGTCATTATAGTAAGAGTTCTGCTCAGCAAAGGGCAGACTGAAATAAAACAACTGTAAGATTTATAGAAGCCATGTGTGTGATGAGATTTTTCCTGCGGCCTCAGCTGTCTGTTTTCCAAACCATAAATCAGTTCTGAGCCCTTTCCAGGGTTGCTGCTGCTCTGAAGCGTTTTTTCATTTTACATTTAAAGGCATGGAATGTAGTAACAAATTTTGAAATATTTTACATGAGTCCTGACGCTATCACCCTAATTTAGTTTCATAGGTTAGCTGAGCATCCCAAGAACACCACATTGCAGTGAGGGAAAGCTGAACTCCAATCATGGTTCTGTCACAACTCCATCATATTAACCTCTTCTCTATTTCTCTCTGTGAAAAAAAAAAGGGTTAGATGGGAGGATTTTAAATCTAGTTAAAAATCTCAGCAACAAAACCATTGTGGCTGAGATTGGCTCACAAATAAGGTTTTGCTCCTGACTTGCTGTGCAGAAGAAGTTCATGGTATTTGGCATCAGTTGGGCAAGTGAGAGTCAGCTCAATGATCAGGATTAAAAACGCTCTCAATTGAAGAACTCTCTCTTAACCTAACTAGCTTTTTATAAAGGCACAGTGAGACACAGGAAGGGCGTGTGAAGGGAAACTGTTACAAAAGCACAATGAACACTATTTAGATTCGCATTACCTCCATCTTCGAGAGGGTTAAAAGACCTCTCGTTCTGCAGGAGAACCTGCTTCAGCTCTTCTAGCTCAGCATGCTCTTTGGCGTACATTCTCTTTAGGTTTTCTACATGCTGGATCATCACTTCAACTGCTTTACTAACCCGGCTCTCCTATTAGGAAAAATAAGAGCAATTACATGTATGTATGTATGTATGTATGTATGTATTTTAGGGAAGGGTCTACAGCGTGATCAGGGTCTCACTACTAGGTCGGACTGCTAGTGATCTGCCTGTTTACAGCCTCTCAAGAGCTGGGATTATAGGCACGCACCACCACACCCAATCTCCATTACCATCTCAGTGTGCCCCGGAGGCGGGGCCAGTACAGCAGAACCAGGGACTGAAACCCTGGCCCCTGTACCTGCTTGCAGGCACTTTAATCTGCTGAGCTATTTGGCTGGCCCAACAATTACTTTTAGATTGGAAATACTAGGCTTGGTGGCTGAGGCTGCAGGTCAGTGGTGGAGCGCTTGCCTGGCATGCCTAAGGCTCTAAGAAGAGAGCAGAGACACAGCACAGAGGGAGAGAAACAGACAGGCAGGCAGGCAGGCAGGCAGACAGAGAAAACTATCCTCAGTACTAGGAGATTAAACACACTTACCTTCATGCCATCCTTAAATCCAACTAGATGAGCTCACTTTCCTTTTTCTTTTTTTTTTTAACTGGGAATCAAACCTGGGACCTCACATTTGCTGGTGAGCTATATCCCCATCCCTCTTCAATCTAATTAAAATGCCAAAAAGAATTTTGCTTTGAAAGTGAATCTACATGGACGAACAAAACAGAAAAGGATATAATGCCACAAGATTTGGAAGACTGGGTAGTAAAGGGACTGAAGCCTGGGAAGTCTGAGCCCCTAAAACACAAGGTAGGAAGAGCCTAGAAGCTAGGTTGTGGCTCAGAAGGCCTCAAAGGCATGGGAATCAGTGGCCTGTCTGGAAGTTTGAATGTGGCTGTGTGAACTGCACAAACCTAAGGAAAGGTTGAAGGGCTGTAACAGCGACTAGAGCTGCAGATCCCCACCCGACTCTGGCCAGCAGAGAACCTCTCCACAGTCGCAGTGAAAGACTAATGTTGGAAATCTAAAGAAAAATTAACAGGTTCTGTGGATTGGAAGTAATTGATGGCAAAGAAATCTTACTGAAAGCAACTGTGTTTTTCTTTATACTATATTTCTTTCTTAAAATTTAACTTCATTTTCTTTTGAAGAGTTAAAAACAAAAGCAAAACCAATAGCAGACACAAAGACAGAAACAGGGTAACATACAACAGTACATATGTTATGATTTTCAAAACAAGAATAGCTAATTAACAGTGGTTGTTCTATTATCAATTTTATCATCCAATCTGTGGCTCAGATTAACAGATACAGTTATGCAAGATTGGACAGATAACTGAATATTACTGTTTGCTTTCAAGAAACCTTAATTTTTTTGCCTTTTTTTTTTACTCTTTAAAAACAATGATTTTAACAAGAGTATAATAATAATTGCTAAGACATTAGAAAATGGGACACATTTAGAAGACCAAGATGAGAGGTATTCAAGTGTGGTTTTTGTATTACATATTGCTGCCCTCGAGGTCACTGTTTAGATTGCAGATATCTGCATATAGTTAGTCAAGGTGAAAACTGTACACATTAACTGCTGCTTTCAAAAAACTGATAGAAATTATTAGTACAATCAATTCAGCCATCCTGTCTATATACTTGCATGTTTCCCCCCTTCCTTTTTACCTATCTTTTTGCATTTTTCTCATTTTCATTGTTTAACCTTTAAGTCCAGTTTCTCTGTTTTACTACATCTATTATACTTTTCAGGTTTTATTTCTTCTTTCAGGTTCTTACACTAAGGGAGGTAATATGATATTTCCACATGTAATACAAGTGGAAAATAAATACATGAACAAATGTTCCACAGCACTGGCCACTTGCGAAATGAAAATTAAAAACAACACTGAGATATTATCTCACTCGAGAAAGAATGGCTATCATGAAGAAATCAACTAATAACAAATCCTGGAGAGGCTGTGGTGAAAAAGGAACCCTTCTCCACCACTGGTGGGAACGTAGACTGGTCCAACCATGATGGAAATCAGCACAGAGATTCCTCAAAAAACTAGGACTGGAAATCCCATTCAAACCAGCTATTCCCCTTCTGGGTATCTTCTCAAAAGAACTGAAAACATCATACTATAGTAGCCACACAATTTGTCTTAGCCAAATCTTAGAAACAACCAAAATGCCCATTCACCTGAGGAATAAAAAGGATGTGGTATTTTTATACAATGGAATATTGCTCAGCTATAAAGAAAGGCAAACTTGAAACCTTTATAGGAAAACAACAGCAAAAATCCACATATTTATTAAGCACTGAGGTCTGTCTTCCTCTAACTCCCATACACCAACAGCCAGGATTACATCTCAAACAGGTATATGGAAAATGTCCCCTGAGGAATCTAACTTTCCAAGATGAAAGTCCTGTAAGTATTGGAATCAGGGGCCAAGAAAAGGTACTACCTTCTGAGGAGTTCAACATCACCAAGAATTTTTCCCATTCAACACATACAGAGCCCCAATAAGCTCCATGGTACATCACCAGATACTGGGAAGCTTCCAGCATGCAACGAGAGAATCATAACACAGAAAAAAGTACCCTGGAAAAAACAGTCTGTATGGAGTGCTGGCCAGATAGCTCAGAGGACTAAGGGACCTACTTAGGCAGGCACAGTGGCCGGGGTTCAATCCCCGGTGTGCAATGCCAGTCCTGCCCAAGGGGCACAGTGAGACAGTGACTGAGACAGGCATGGTGGTGCCCACCTGTAATCCTAGTGCTTGGGAGGCTGAAAAAAAGAAGGAAATCACTGTAAGTCAGATTTGTGTAACGAGACCCTGTAGATGCTGTACTAAGTATATATGTATATAAAAAAAGAAGCAGTCTGTGGAAAAACTAAAACTTAGAAGAAATTATCAATAACTTCACAGTTAAAGATAATTAGTGCAACCATGAGAAATTATTTAAGAAATAATTATTTAAGAGGAAATTATTTAAGAGGCACATTGAGTATATCAAGAGTTTTGGGAAATTAAAGTGACAAAAATAACTCAAGACTTTCAAGATAAAGTTGAAGAAATCTCCCTGAAATCGGAGTAAAAAGACCCAACAGGTAGCTCACAGATCCATACAGATCCATAGATGAGATCCAAAGAACAAGAAGAATTTTTAAAAGTGCAGGAAAAAAATCCTAAACTATAAAGACAGAAATTAAACAAAAATTTCTCCATGAGCATAACCTATTAGCTTGAAAAATGGTCACTCAAGGCCTAAAATAGTGGGTAAAAATGAACACCTATCAAGGGAAGGCAGTGAAAAAAGGAAGATTCCCTAAAAGCTAGAAAGTCAGAATATGGTAAAAGGCACAGAAGTTAGAATGGCTTCATACTTTGACCCCAACACCAGACATCAGAAGAAAATGAAGCAACGTGAGGAAAATTCTAGAGGAAATTAGATAGACTCCATCAGCCAACTAGACTGACAGTTAAGTAGGATAAAGATGTTTTCATTTGTACAATGTTGTAGACAGGGTTTATAATGTAAAAGGTTTAATACAGAACACATAATTTATAGGAACACTTTGTGATATTCACTCAAAGAGTCAAAGGTAGAAGAATGCAGGAGATCTGTCCACACACTAGGGACCCAAAGAATTCAGCTGAAGGCCTAGAAGCCGTGGCCCCATCTCGCATGAGTCCAGCTGGAGGCCTACCTCCCATGGTAATGTCCTCCACAAGCCCAGATGGGGACCTAGAGCCCACAATAATGTCTCATGCGGGTCTGAGTCAAAGATCTACACTGGAAAGGCCCACAGGTCAGCTAGAAAGTCTATATCAGCATGGTGAAGGGGCTGTGTCAGCAGGCTGAGGGATCTGCCCTAGAGCCTGAAAGCGATGCACAAGGTGAGGACCAGAGCTCCCGTGAAAAGATCCGCAGCCATCAGCCATCCCTAGTAACAGCAACAACCAGAGCTTTTCCTCTGAGGGTGGTAAAAGCTGAGTTCGTATCAGGAAAGCCAGCATGATGATCCTCCCCAGGAGAAGCAACAGGGCCTTGTTTTCACCTCCAGTTCCCCTTTTTATGCTGGTGGGAATAAGGCTCAGGTGAGACTTCTGCACTGAGCACTGTATTGACTCAGTTGGGTGTTTCAAGCTGCCCATTAGTTTAAACAGAAAACTGCCCAAACAACCATTAAAAAAAAATCAGAAAGAATGTGAATTTAATGTCAAGAAAGGAAACTCATCTTAATGGAGTACTTGGAATAGAATTTACAGTCATAAGAATGTTTGTAGAAGTATTAATCTGATGAATACTATTCATTCACTAGTATTTTTAACTTTTATGACATTAGTTTCCAAACAGCCAAAAACTAAGCACATCTCCAGCTTTAAAAATAGATACTATTTTGCCCTTAGAGTTCCATCTTCCTCCAAAAGAAGTTCCATCTTTTTCACATTTTTGAATTTGTTAAAAAATGTAAGTGATAGACATCATTTTGTTTCACTCTTAAAGACTCCAATAAGGATATTTTTAAAAAGGAAAATGTATTTCCTTAACCATATACCATGCTCACATTTAACAAGGCTAAGCAAAAAATGCTTTAAAATAACATGCTAGTACATACTGAAATTTCCCAAACTAGCTCAAAAGCATTTTTGTTTGGGAACTAACAAAGGTCATTGACTGTATGGTTTTCTGTTTTATACTCAAATACAATTTATAATATAAAACAACCATTTTTATCTGAGTAATTCATTGGATTAAAGAAGGTTGCAGACATGCAAGAACCAAACAAGAAAGTGAACACATGAGATACCCCGCAAAGTCACAGAAGCTAATGCTTGACCTTATGTTTTAAGCTTGGTCAGGAGAGAAGACAGGACAGCACCAGGGTGAGGGACTGTGACCGCATGTGAAGGGCAGAGAGTGACTGGAGAGCGACATCTCCATGAGGACAAGCAACACTGGCATTGAAAATAAATCACTAACTGGCACTGTGTACGTTATTTTAATTGGCTATTATTATAAAACAAAGCAAAAGAGCTGCAGGTTGTAGCTGGTCGAGAGCACAGGAAAATGGATAATAAGACTTGTGGAGTTACTTAGCTTCTAAAAATCTATATTCATATATAACATTAATACAAATAAAACAAAGAATAAAATTGTTCTTCAGTGAGAGGATAAAAGGAAGTAGGACATTTTGAAAAGTATATCAAATAAAAACCACCCCAAATGAAATATTCTCTATTAAGTAAATTTTAATAAGTCTATTTAGTATAGACTTCAAAAGACTCCAATAAGGATATTTTAAAAAATACGCTTATACATTTTGAAATTTGCTCATACTTTTTTTTTTTGGTGGTACCAGGGATTGAACTCAGGACCTTGAGCTACCAGGCAAGCGCTTATTCTGAGCTATCTCCCTGGCCCCCTACTCATATATTTTGAAATCCTATTTCTTTACAAATAAATGTACAAAGGTTCATGTACAAGGACATTTATTGTAGGCTCATTTGTAAAAATAAAAATATTAAGGATATCTGAAATAATCAAATAAAAGGAATTGATTAAACGAGTCATATCTATCCAACCAGTAAAGCCCCCCAAAGGGCAATATGTGTATATAATGTTTATATCACAAATTATACCTGCTATATATTGAATGGAAAAGGTTATACTATTATTTGAAAGTAGTTTATAACCTGGTAGGAAGGCAGTGTGTATAGGAATACCCAACACAATTTTATGATAATGACCACTGGCTAATATTAGTATAACATATTTCTTTACATTTTCATGTGTATATTTCAATTTCCTACATTAAACATGAAAGTATTAAACACTTTGATAACAAAGTCTTGCTAAAGACCCCTTCCTATCTTAGGGAACATAAATCTTTTGAGCAATTTCTCTAACTAGAGAAATGGAGACAAGTTACCTGATTGATGGCTCCCAGCATCTCAGCTCTACTGGCCACTCGGGTTGTGCACTGGCTAAGAAACGTTATACTATTCTCCAGTTTCTTAATGAGTTCCTGGGCCTGGTTGTCTTCTTCACACAGAGGTGTTAAAGACTGCACAGAGAGCAAAGAGTTATAAGACAGCCCACACACGCACTCAGCAAGTGATTCTCTACTCTGTTGTAGTCTAATTTCAACTCTCTCAGTGAATGAGTAAAAAGCAGCTCTCAAGATCAAGAATGAATGATAACCAAACATTTATATAGCTGTTGGGTAGCACATAGATGTACATGGCTGCTCAGAAAACCTTGTAAATCTATTCTTTTTCTTTTTTTTTTTTTAATTTAGTACAGAGTTTCACTACACAGATTGGGCTCATAGTGATCCTCCTGTTATCAGCCTCCCAAACACTGAGATTACAGGTGTGTGCCACCAGGCCCAGTCTCAGTTACCATCTCAGCGTGCCCTGGGGGGGGGGAGCTGGCACAGCACACCAGGGATCAAACCCGGTCCCTGTAGCAGGCACATTAGTCCACTGAGCTATCTCTCCAGCCCTTAAGTCTATTCTTGATCTCTGTTTTCTATACTTCCCAAGCATGCCACACTTTCCTGCATGTGCATTCATGTCCTCCTATGATTAATAGGATGGGCTATTGGCATTCATTGCTAATGGTAAAGAGAGTATGCCTATCATAAATGATTTGAATGCACCATATAAAGAGCCTGGGTTGGAACGTTAGGGCAAGTAGCAAAACATACTGGGGTGAAGACGGACTGAATGTTATTCTTGCTCTTCTGCTGGTTGTAATGTGGGGTTGGGCTGGCTAAGCTGGCACCTCATGAATATGCCCCTTGCCAGGTATGGCATCACACATCTGTAATCCTAGCATGCGGGAGGCTGAGGCAGGAGGATTAGTGAGTTCAAGGCCAGTGTAAACTATATAAGGAGACCTTATCTCAAAAGCAAACTATAAATTGCCCTGAAATCTGTGTCCTTTACCTCAAATGATACCCTTCCTGATATGACTGTCCTCACTACAGTACAGACAAAAGACAACAGCAGAATAGGAAGCAAACAATCTCATACTCAATATCTGGGTGATTGTGAACAGATTTCTAAGATACGCCCAAAGTTAAAATACCATGAATTGTAAGAAGCATCATGGATCTGAAGGCAAAATAAAATATGGTTAATGAAGATTGAATCAAGAAGAAATAAGAATCTGAATAGATTGTAACTAGTAAGGACGTCAGATCAGTAATTAAACATTCCACAACCCCCACCCCACCCCAGGGATTTCACTAGGGAATTCTACCAAGGTTTAAAAAAGAAGTAATGGCCAGAGCTGGTGGTACATGGCTGTAATCTCCCAGCACTTGGGAGGCTGAGGCAGGAGGATCACCTCAAGTTATAAGTCAACCTGGGCTACATAGTGAGTTCAAGGTTGATTTGCACTACATAGCAAGATCTTCTCTTGGAAAAAGAAAAAGGGCCAATCCTTCTAAAAATCTGACATAAAAAATGATACAAAGCTAGGCATGGTGACACACTCCTGTGATTCCAACATTCAGACAGGCTAAGGCAAAAGGCAAATTCAAACACAGCCTGGGCAAAGTAGTGATCTAGCAATACCCTGCCACAAAATAAAAAATAAAAATTGGGTGGGGGACACAGTTCAGTGGGAAGGACCTGGGTTCAATCCCTAGTACTGTAAAAACAAAAACAACAAAAATGACTGAAATCAAAGCAAATAACTTGACATTTTACTTAACCTATGAAGCTCTTTTGTAGTGAAATGTATTACTATTTAGGTGTTTTAAAAGGCCTAAGTGAGGCTGGTGGCATAGTGCTTGCAATTCCAGCACCCTGGGAGGCTGAGGTAGCAGGATTGAAAATTGGAGCCCAGCCTGATCGATTTAGTGACCTAGCAAGAATCTGTCTCAGAATAATAATAATTTTTTAAAAAGGCTAGGGATGTAGCTCAGAGCAAAGGCCCTGGGTTCAATCCTTAGTACTGCATCCCAAGATGCATAGACTATCGGGGTAGAAGAAGACCCAAAGCAAGCCCTCATGTGTCTCATGTATACACTTAAATGATCATCAACGAGAGTGCCAAGAATGCACAAGCAGGAAAGGACTGTCTCTTCAACAAAGAGTGTTGGAAAGACTGGAAATGTATGGACTTGACCTTACCTTACACCACACAAAAAATTCACTCAAAATTTATTAATGGCAGACTAAGTGCTTGCTTAGGCAAGCGCAGGGACCAGGGTTTGATGCCCAGCACCACGTGCCACGCCAGCCGCACCTCCAGAGCACACTGAGCCAGCTACTAAGACCAGATATGGTGGTGCACACCTGTAATCCCAGTGCTGGGAAGGCTGAAAACAGGAGAATAAACTGTATGTCTGAGCTATGTAGTGAGACCCTGTACCACTATATATATATATATATATATATATGATTAATGAGCCAAATGTAAGACCTAAACTAGAAAATTCCTGGAAGAAAATAAAGGAAAAAAATCATCCTGATCCTGAATTTGGCAATCATTTCTTAGACTTGGACACCAAAAGAACAGGCAATAAAAATAAAAATAAATAAATGGGACCACATCAAATGTATGTGTTTTTACATCAAAGGGTTCAATCCCCTGAGTGAAGGACAACCTAGGAAAAAAGGAGAAAATATTTTTAAGTCCTACAGCTGAAAGGTGATTTATATTGAAAATATACCAAGAATTCCTACAATTCAACAACAGAAAACATTTAAGTAACTTGATTTAAGAGTGGACAAAGGACTCGAATGACACTTTTCCAAAGGCAATACACAATTGGCCAACAAGCATCAGGAATTTCGAGTTAAAACCACAAAATGCCACCCTCTACCCACAAGAGTATAGGGTTTGTTATAGAAATAAACAGAAAATGACAGTGTTGGTGAAGAGCTGGAGAAATTGGACACTGTGTCAACTGTTTGCGACAATATAAAGTGATGCAGCTGTATGGGGAACATTACAGTCATTTCTCAAAAAAACAAAAACAAAAAGAAACCCTTAAAAATAGAATTTCCATATGATCCAGAAATTCTGCTACTGGGTGTACACAAGAAAGGAATAAAAGCAGAGTCTGCAGGAGACATTTGTATACCCATGTTCATGGCAGCATGATTCAGAATAATCAAGAGACGGGAGCAACTCAAGTGCCCATCAGGGAATGAACA